GATGGACTGAATATGTTCATACAGTCCGATGAAACAGAAGGGCGGCGGGGAGGGGAGAGATGCACAGCTGTTGTGTGCTTCCCATCTCCATTGTGAGAGTGCCTCAGAATTAAGCCCAGGTTGTGATCCAATGGAATGCTGTCCCACATCACATGTATCAGATCGTGTTACTGAGGAATTATATGCTTAATATTAGGCTCAACTTTGTCATGTTAAAGAACAGAGGAAAAAGCCAAGCTAGAAGAAAGACAGTTTGGCCACATAAAACTGCGATATCCATTCAAAACAGTCATGTTAGGAGAGGATTAGCTTTTTAAAGGGTTAAGTTAACCTAATGGTGGCTAGCTGTGGTGACTGCAAAACAGGGTCAAGTATCTTCTTTTCCCATCTCTAGCCTTCATACATCCTTTGTCTTTCTTCAGCTGTTAGCTTGAGTTTACAGGATGCTCCTAAATTTAGAACAGTCTCTCTGTACATGACTAGGTAGTACTCACTTTCTCCTCCTTTCAATGCCTCCTTAAAGCCCAGTTCGTGGAGCTATTTTTTTCCCTGTTCTTCTCACCCGTACTCTCCAAACTCTGCTGTATCTGAGCTGTGTTCCGAGGCCTTCGGTTTATTTTGTCTTGTCTCTCTGCTTGTAGAAACTGACGGACTGAGAATGGATTTCACTCTGTGACGCTGTCCCTTCAATCCAAACTGTTAGCATGGACTTCTGTGGCCATGCAGAGCCAATGGGATTATGGTCCTGACCAGCGTTCCCTCTAATTTTTGACAGGCCGTATGCGCAAAAAATTTCTTCTGTGCAAATTGTTGTGCTTCTGTGCAAATTTTTGTGCTTGCGGTGTTTCGCTGTGTGTGCGGGGTTTTGGATTTGTGTGCGCGTGCACACGCCCACAGCTTAGAGGGAACAGTGGTCCTGACCCTGAAATTGGGTTCACATGGGCAGTCCCTTTCCCCCATGCAGCGCTCCATTGGCTTCAGTGGGACGCTGCACAGACCTGAGGACCAGCCTGTGAGGATCTGGTTTATAATCTCATTAAGGGGCTGTTTGTAAAGGGATGTGTGCATTTATGGTACTCTATAAATGACTTTTATTAATAAAAATCACCTTTAATATGCTGTAATGTTAATCTTCTAATATGGCTTTTAAACATTCAATTCAATTCGAGATCCTTCCTTTTGCTCTAGAAAAGTGCTAAGAATGATTTCATAACAGTAGTAATACGTGGCACTTATACAGTGCTTTGCACCTCCAAAGAGCTTTACAAACATTGTCTCATTAATTATGCTAATAATTATGGTAGCTTTGGTGGAGAAAAAAATCCCTTGATGTTCATTTTAAGTGAAAAATACACCCGCAACGGGCAAGTGAATAGATAAATCAAACTGTTTTGGCAAAGAAGTGAAACATCACTCTTGCTAGTGAAGAGATATTTGAGGCCCTGTGTATTGTCAGGACTCCAGGAGTCCTAGAAATGAGCTGTGTAGGACATTGCACAGCTGAAAGGGAGCAGGAGTGAATTATCTACACTATGCATGTTAGGCAGAGCTTGACACCATTACAACTCACCCGAATTGATTCTGTAACTATACACTAAATCACACAAGAAAGAGATTCTAAGCTAACACTCTATTCTCACAGCTGTGTGTGCGGAGGGGCAGTTATATCATCAGAGGAGAAATGACTATCCTTCTTGGGTATCATTTATATCTTGTACAATTGAGCTGTACATTTATGCGCATCCCTTGCTGTATTTAGGATTAATACAGTCATCGGCTTTATTAGAGGATCCACCTAAAGGACTGAGTTCCAAAGGCTTTATATTCACAGAAGCCTCAGAGCTCGTTAGCTGTATGCTGGCATTACTATGTACAAAGGATAACGTTTGCCATCAATGAAATGCTATTGCAAGTCAATGAATGAACACCAGGCTTTCTTCAATTACGGTTCTAACGGCAGCTCCAGCTTTCCCCCCTCCATAGTCCACCTTCTCTCCCACAAAAGAATTCATGCTCCATGGGATATTAGCACAGAAAACGAGGTCAAAATGCTGTTCTCTGATGGGCCTGATTTAAAAGTGACAAGAGACTAAATTCTTAGTTAAAGCTCTGACTTCTTCCTGGATTCCTGAATCTAATTTTCCATCCGATCAGCTTGATGCCAAACATAGTCACCGCTGGTAGTGGTGTGACAGGGAAATTGGGTGCTCAGTCATGGCTCAGACTGCACAGGGGCATAAGAGGGTTTAACAGCTTGCATCTGGGCACGTTAAGTCAGTGTGCTCTGAATTAGGAGGGCAGGAGGTGGGAGGAACCTTGGTGCACCCCTCCACCCATGCCAGGCTGCACAGCTGAGTTGGAGCAGTAGCAGATTACTATCCCCAAAGAGCAAGGAAAGGTTTGGGAGGGAGCTGTGCCTCTCTCATCAACTCTGCTGTCTTGTACGCAGGACAGGAGCTGAAGTGAAGCCTAGCCCTGTGCAATGAATTGGCGGAGCATTTAAAGTTTTAAAGTGAGAGAAAACTTGGGTCAACTTCCTGAAGGTCAGATGGAGGAAACTTTAATGAGAAAGCAGGTTCTGGAGCAGAGAAAATGCCAGTTCTATCAAAAATCTTTCCTGGCTGGGGAGTGGGAAAGAGAGAGAGAAGGGAAGTGCAGGAGAATCCCCACTGATGGCCTGTTTCCCCTAGGCTAGTATCACAAGACCCCATCAGTTATGTATGTGAGAGTGGAAAAATCTTTCATCCCAGGAAGTTGGAGAGGTTTGTTTTTTTAACACGAAGGGCCAGATTTTCAAAAGTACTCCACACCAAACAGTTTTTGCTTAGGCACCTGATTGAGTGGCTAGATTTTGAAGAGAATTCAGCTCCCATTTAGCTGTCTAGCTGGAGCCTGAGCACTTGTGAAAATGCAGCCCCTAAAGGACACTGGCATATTTTTCCCGTGGCCGGAATAGTATTTGCAGCTAGCCTGAAATGTATCATTAGTATTAAACCATGGGCCACATTTTCCCTCCTTTATTTACATTGAGTAGCATCTTACTCCAGGAGTAGTTCAGTTTAATTGAAGCAAGTCACTACTCAGTGTGAGTAGGTGGCAGAATCTGGCACTATTCCGACTCAATTTTCAATGAGATTTAACTTTGATTCCATAGAGATTTTTCTGTATGCAGAGTTAATTAATCTCTTATGGGGCAAAAAGGCAGTTTGGTGCAGACATAATAGCAGCATAATGAAAAACAATGTTCAGATAAGAAATTAGTTACCCTCTCCCTTGTTTTTAGTTAGTTAACTGAAAGCTTTAAAAATAAACAATGATCAAATAAGTATTTAGTACAAAACCCAGAAATTGTAGTGTTCCTAACCCCCAGTACTTTTCATGTGTCTATAAAGCTGTCAGTTATTTAAAACAAAACAAAACCAAAAAAAAAAACACTAACAGAGAAGGAAAGTGGTTGCTCTAGCTAAACTGTCAACTGCAGAGGAATTCAATTTGGACAAGAAACATGAATTCTGAAACAAAGGAGGTAGGAACCATTAATTTGTCCATAAGCCTCACAATAAGAAACTTGGAGGTGAAATCCTGCCTGCTTTACTCATGTGAGTTGTCTCACTGAAGCCAGTGAGATTACGTTAAGCAAAATGGGCAAAATTTGGCCTTTGATCTCTGATTTCTAAATTTACTTCAGAAAAGTGGATTACAGACTCCTTTTCTGGTTTCTTTCTTTCCACCCCAAAACAGTTATAGCCTGATTCTCATTTGCACTAAGTCCACTTTCCACCATTCTGACAATGCAAGAGAGCCTTAGAGAGTGGAGTGAATTATATTTACGTTCACTTTACGCCCTCTCTTTGCTGCCCGAACAATGTAAATGAACCTTAGTAGGAAATTTTCCCTTAGGGTTATAGAAGTGATCTCTGACATAGTAAGTACAGTGCTGTGTGCCTGTGTATTTGCACATAAACATTTCCTTGCCACGTTTCTGCATATGCAAAACCTCTGTAGGAATGGACACCGCTTTTGCACACAGACAGCGGGTAGTGAGGTGATTAACCCACAGCAGTCAGTTTTCTCATGACAATACAGAGTTCGTATACAAGACTGGATTTTTTATGCACGGGCAAAATTGATAATAGAAAAATTGCCTTCATCAAAACGTAATGATTGGAGTCTGGCCCTAAGTCTGCAAAATTATGCCCATAACTTTAGAACCTACTGTGCACCTCCTCCATAGACCCCTAAGCCCTCCCTCTTGAGGGGCATGAGCTGAATTTTTTGGACCCCCCCCTCCCCATTATCCCTTCCATAGGTGTGAATTCAAGAAGGAATGATTTTCACCTCTCACTCTGTGCATGGATTTAGGGCCTAGTTTTCAGAGATACTGAGCACCTCCAGCTGCACTTGAAGTTAGTGAGAATTACAGGCGCTCAGCACCTCTGAAAGTAGTCCCTTAATGGTGTACTGTATCAACACTATTGGCTTTACTCCTGATGAGCTACGGAGGTGCAAGTGGTGTGGCTAATGGTGCCGCAATCAACGTCAAACTGCTGCTCGTGTCAATATCTAGCAGCAGCAAATATATGTTTTGGGATGATCAGCGATAGCCAAAGCTGTTTGTTTTCAAAGCCACCTAGCGGATTTGGATGCCCTGAGGCAGCTTTGAAACTCTCAGCCTAGATTTGTTTACAGAAAACAGGCGATTTCAAATCAGCTTGTGGCTATTGCAGGTCACGTACAATCAATTATCTTGCAGTTGGAATTGATTGATTGTTTTTCTGTGCATGGCCTTGTCTTTTCATTAATTTTTAAATTATGAAATGAATAGCCCTGGACTTATTACTACCTGGGGTTACTAATCAGCATCGAGTAGACGGAGTCCATTGTAGAGTTTGCCTTTCTATTCTGTGCCTATTTAATTGATTTGAACTGTTAGCCATGAGATAACTCCACACGTTTTACACTTGATGCGAGTTTAATTCAGAGCTTATGTTTGTTTGCAGAACAACACAATTTGGAAGCCAGATTCATGCCAGGAGTGCAGATGCCATAGTGACATTGTCATCTGTGAACCTGCCATTTGCAGAAACCCTCGGTGTGACTTTCAGAAGGTAAATATGCCTGTTGGCTTGCTATGCAAGGGATGGGAAGTATTTGAATCATTAGGTTTTTCTCTCTATGTTCAACCTAAGCCTTCTGGGTAACTACAGGTTTGGGAAAGTGTTATACTGGAATATACACAGTCTATGATTCATGCAGGAGTGGAATGGACAATCAGAAGAGGCTTAGTCCTGTAGCTGCAATGTAAGCAAAGCATCTCTTTTCTTTCGTGGGTGTCATGGTTAAACTTGCATAGACCACCCGATTATTAATGGCTTCTCTCTAGCATAGCAGCAGCCCTGTCACGGTTCCATTTTCATCAGTGGGAACGGTAGGAAGTGAAAAGTGGGTGCAAAATGGTAACATTTTCCACCCACTCTACGCTGATGTAAATGACTGCACAGAATTGCACAGGCATAGATGAGAAGGGGATTTGGCCCCCTGTGAACAGAAAAGGCAGTGTTTTGAAGTCCAACCAGTTTGTTCCCTTCTCACATGGAAACTTGGCAATGGCACCATTTGCATGCTACATATGGCAAGTGATCTGCCAAGAGTATTCTGATCTCAAAAGATGCCAGTGTGCTGCCGTGTTCGACCACAGCTTAGGCATGGCTGATAATCACCTTTAGACTGAGCCCAGGGGGCTGGGTCTCTGTAGAACAAACAGATGGACACTTTCCACTCTAACAAACAGTAAGAGAGCTAGAATTGTGCTTTTGGTCCGTCTTTTCGTTTGGTGTGCCTTGGTGATTATTGCTGTTGTTGCTGGGCTTTCATTGTCTGTTTTGTTTCTCTGTTTCCTGTGAGCCTTCATTAATGATTGTAGCTAATTGGGTGCAGGGTTTGTGTTTGTAGGGCCCAGATTGAGGGCAGGAACATATGAATATCAACAAAAGTCTGTATTTTGAAGAGACCCTGCCAATATAAAAATCGTGTAGTTTTAAAAAGGTCTTGCTAGTGTTCCTGGTAGCAGCCATAGGTTATTCACAGTGAAAGAACAGGTGGTGTCTAATTTTTGCTCCATCATTAATGCTGTTTGTTTGTTAGAGGGAGATTGAAAATATTGGTTCTGTTTATGTTAGAGAGGAGGTGAATAAAAGGAAACATAAGAGACATACAAAATAATGAATGGCACGGACACTTCTGTTACTCCTTTCTCATAACAAAAGAACAAGGGCAAATTGAAAGGCAGCAAATTTAAAACTGACTAAAGGAAATAATTTTTCATGCAATGCATAATTAACCGGTGGAACTCATTGTCACATGATATCATCAAGGCCAAGAGTGGAATAGGGTTCCAAAAAGGAATAGACAGTTATATGGATAATGAGAAAATTCTGTGTTTTACGTTAATTTAAGAGAACTTTTTAGGAAGGGGTCATGCCTCGTGCTTCAGGGCATAAACCAGCCACTAATTGAGGGGGTAAGGAAGGAACTATTCCTATCATTGATTTATTCTTTAACTATATGCTGCAGGATTTCTCCAACCTTCTTGGAAGCAGCTGGTACTGGTCTTTATTGGAGGGAGCTCCAGCTTGAGTGCCTCTGCTGATCTTACTTCCAACAGTATGGCATAGAGCACTGGTTCTCAACCAGGAGTCCGGGGCCCCCTGGGGGGCCACGAGCAAGTTTCAGGAGGGCTGCCAAGCAAGGCCAGCATTAGACTCGCTGGGGCCCCGGCACAAAGCTGAAGTCCCAGCACATGGGGCTGAAATCTGGGGCCCTGAGCCCTGCCATCCGGGGCTGAAGCTAAAGCTGAAGCCTGAGCCATGTAGCTTGGTGAGGGGCCCCTGTGGCAGGGAGCCTCAGGCAGTTGTCCTGCTTGCTATCCCGTAATGCCAGCCCTGGCTTTTCGATGCAGAAAACTAGTTGTGGCAGCACAGGTGGGCCGTGGAGTTTTTACAGCATTTTTAGAGTTTTATTTTCAAGAAGGTGACTTTTGGGCAAAACCCTAAATTATGGCCCCTCTTTGCTGCCTTTTCATGTTCTCGGCTACTTCATTGAGTGTGTGTGTGTGAGAGAGAGAGAGATAGTGATGGGGTTTGCTTGTTTCTGGCTTGTACACGTAAAACTGTCTGTCTCTGTTTGGTCACTGCGGGCCTAATCAAGAGGGACGCTGAGCACTGCCCAGAAAATACCAAGCATCCTCAGATGACAGTTGACATCTGTGAAATCCTTGCCAGGATAAGGTCTCATATCACATTCCTTTGTGGCATCTGTGCGGCATACTGCCAGGGTCTGGGATATTTAAAATACATTTGAGAAGGCTGGAATGAGAATGCAAAAGCTGCTATGCACAACCCTTGGAGATGCTCCAGGAATGGAAGCAAAGCACCTCCAGAGCTTTTGCCAACTTTTTTACTAATATCTCCTGCCCTCAGTGTGACATGGAAGCGTGAACACACATGCCTGTTGGTTTCATCTGTTACCCTGCTGCTGCACAGAGTGTGGCAGCCAAACTATGCACTGTTCTTCTGGGAACACTGAGGGGGCAATATAATACAGATGGTCGATATTTTTCAAATTTTGAAAATGTCACATTTTGGAACTTGAACAAAAATTGGGAATTTCAAAACAAAACAAAATTGATAGTCAGTTAATTTCCTTTTCCTTTTTCCCAACTAGCTCTAACGAGAAAGGAAGAAAATGTTTCCACTTACGATATTTTTAAAAAGTAATAAATTAAATTTTAAAACAAGAAAACAAGTTTCCCTGCGATCACTTATGGGTTAATCTTTTTTTAATTTTATTTATTTATTTTTTTGCCTTGTTGAGAGTCAGTTTTTCCTAATGATTTTCCTATCTGTCACTGAAACGGCTGGTGTCAGGGAGTTAATGAAAAATGAGTCATATTCCCAAAGGATTGTTTATGCTGTGTGTGTGTGTGTGTGTGTGTGTGTGTTTTCCTATACACACCTTGGGGATAAGAATGAATTCAGCATCCCAAAGCAACGCAACAGCTCTTCACAGGAAAGTCCTTGATTAGTAGCATTCCTTTTTAAACTGAGAGCGCCATGTGCAACAAGAAACCCCCACGCCCCGAGTCACCCCTTCCACCTGTACTGCTTATAGGGCTTTCTTTTATTTGTTCAGGGGGAAGTGCTCTGGATAGCCCCCAATATGTGCTGCCCTGAGTGCGCCTCAGGAACGGAAGGATTTTGCCAGCATGAAGGCCAAACCCATGCGGTAAGTGCTCTTAAGTATCCATTGGCGTTAACATTATTTTCCCTTCCTTAGCTCTCCGGTTGTCCACCTAAATTCAGGGGCGGCAGCTTTTGCCTGTGCAAAATCAGTTGCTGGTTAGGTACTTCAAAAGCTATCTCCTGGCCTTGACGAAGTTGTTAAGCAAAGAACCTCCCCGCCAAGGTCACACTGTGGTCAGTCCTGACCTTCGCTCTGGTTTCTTTACCCCTAGAGGGACTGGAAAGCAGACAACTTTTTCGCAGCTGAGAGTCCCCAGCGGATGTGTACGGGTCCTGCACCTCTAACCCCTGCAGCCCTTGGTGTATTGGGGGGTGTTTGGAGCAATCCTCATTTCTGGGGCTACTCTAAACTTCTCCAGGGGCCACCCCCAGGATCAGAGTGAAGTAAATGGCTCCTTCAGTCCCAGCTCCTCCCACTGGGAATAGCTGAGGATTGAGGCCACTGCAGAGTAGATATTGTACAAAACCATGATGGAGGTGTGGCTTAGAAACATGGCTGACAAGTATGTTTATGAAGAACCCAGTGCATTGGGTTCTCTAGCTGCAGCTGCAGGGACGTGTAACAATTACCCCCACTTTTTGTAGTGCATTTCAGGAGTGAGAGAGAATACTGATCAGTGGTCTTTTTCTGAAAGTGAATATCCAGGCCACTATAAATGTGATAAAAGAATCACCTCTCTAGTGACAAGAGGCCTACCGCTTGAAGCCCTTACCCACCTTACCAGTTTTTACTCGAGCAAAACCCCCAATGGGATTTTCCTACATAAGCATTGAGTATGTAAGGAGCGTGGTAAAGACTACAGGATTTGGCCTATTGGTAACAGAGAAGCCCTTTTAGGTAGCAGCAAATCCTCAGAATTTCTACATTGTACACTGGTTCTGCACACCCCTCACTGAAATCCAACTTGTTAATTATTTTCCCCAAGTAAACCACTCTTCGTAGATCTTGTCTAGGTAAGATGTCGTCTGGCTGGCATGTCGCTCTCTAGTTAAGTCAAGTTAAGCCCAGGTCTTTGAGCGTGGTCCTTGCTAATATCAGCAAAATGTTTAATTCATCTACTTGGCTAATATGGGGGCGGCTTCAGACTCCACAATGCACATGCTTTTGTGACACGCGGGAACCGGGTCAGTGAAATTTTTGGCTCTTTCATACACGAAAGGTATCTCTTCAAGTGAACTTTCGGGCAGATAACCAAGCCTTCATGTATTCACTAAAGAATGCTGGAATGTCCTCTCACGGCTGCCTCTTCAATCCAGCACTCTGTGGAAGGCAGCAAAAGGCACCATTAATCGTTGTCGTCTCCCGCCCCCCTGCCCCATTATAATTTCTTCCGCCATCAGATAATGGCCATATGGGGAGTTTTGTTTGCTACAGTTCATGCAAAGGGAAAGGGCCAATTCACAATAGCCTGGCCTGTTTGGCTGAGAAGGGTGGAGAGTCTGGTGCATTCATTCATTCATTCAGCTGTGCTCTGCAGTTAAATGAGACAAGATAGTATTGTTGGGAAAAGAACTGAGTGTTGACCTGGGCACACTTGACTTCTTCAAAGTGGAGGCTATAATTACCATCAGAAACTTGCATTGTTAGATACTGACCTCTGACATGTGACAGCGTATACACTTCTGTAACCCGTGCTTATGCAAACACAGGCTCCAGGAGGGCCAATCCACCTCGATAGTCAAACAGGCCACAGCAGAAGGAATAAGTGTCCATGTGATTAAAAAACCCCACTGAGGTTCAGAGATGGTACTTATTGACAGATGTCCAATAACAGGCAGAATTGCTCTGAAAGGGGAATTGAGAAGATGGATGGTTTAGTGGTTAGGGCACTAGCCTGGCATTTGGGAGATCTGGGTTCAATTCCTGGCTCAGCTACAGATTTCCTGGTGACCTTGGGCAAGTCACTTAGCCTCTCTGTGCCTCAGTTTCCGATTTGTACAATGGGGATAATAGCACAGCCTGACTGCACAGGATGTTGTGAGGATAAATACATTGTGAAGTGTTCAGATGCCATGGGAACGAGAGTCATATAAGTACCATAGATAAGCTGTCGACCCTCCCCTCTGTCTGACTGAAGTGTTTTACTAGTTGGCTGCAGTAATTTGCAGTTGTTTTTGGCTCCTATTATGTTTTATTTTCATTTGTTCTGTTTATTTAATGGGAGAGATGTAACCATAGCTGCTGGAGTTGGTGCCTGCTGATTGCTGTCATGTGACTGTGATGTAACCTCTGGTATGCTTGACTTGCCTCGCATAGGCAGGAAATAAAGATCAGCCTCATGCCGGCAATCTCATGTGTCTCATCCTTACTATAGAGCCGGCTGCATATTTAGGCAGCGTTCATATTCGAAGCGTACAGCCTAATGGCTGGAGCAGATTACATAAGGGAAGATGATTATCTTTCTGTCAGTGAGCCAGGCAAATGCTTTCTGTCTTCATCATTGTTTTAGAAATATCTAGCCAGCAGAACTGTCCCCAGTAATCACCCCAGGAAAGAAAAGCTTACACTGCAGCACAGCAGGTTTTGTCCATGCCCAGCTTCCATGTTGCGTGTTTCACATAAATTAAAATTTTGCATTTCTCGTTTCAAACAATATCACAGCTTATATCCTTGCCTTCTGTGAGTGGTGATGCATGTGCTGTTGGACCTAGTAGAGTCTTCCAAGACGGCTTTCTGCTCAGTAATGATCCTAAGGAAAGAAGATTCTGTATATTGCCTTGGAGTGTACTGCAAAAAGCAGTGGGTTCCTTACTGGGCCAAACCCTGCTCAGGAGAGCAGATCCAGCATAGTTGGTGGGTTGTAAGGGAAGCAGGGTTTGGCTTGTTGTGAGATACACTGTAGTTTGTAGTTTAAACTTCTGAGGACAGATATTGTCCTTAGATGTGTGTAGATCCTACTGGACATTTTAATGGAAGCCAGGTAAAGACAGAACAGCTGCAGGGTTGTGTCTGGTTTAGACATGGCAGCTCAGCCCATCACACAGGGAGTCATGGGTTGGGAGAATGTATCCATTAGATGTATGTCCTTTGGCCTAGGTTATGCTATGTCGATGCCACCAGGGGGACCCTCTCTATCGAACTGATCCCAACGGGACTACTATGGCCGTGTTAGGACTACTTTGTCCCCCTGTTGCAGGGACCAGTGTCTGCACTGCAGCCTCGGCCGTGAGTTACAGAGCCTGGGCATGTTGGCAGAAGAGGAAAGTTAGGCACTGGCGTGGGGTAACTCACTGGAGCAAAGATTATTTCCAGTCTCGTTGGCTATTAAAGTAGCTTACACATTTCCCTTTTTGTTTTTCCATTGCAGCATGGAACGGAGTGGGCAAGCTCTGCATGCACGGCGTGCTCCTGTGCCAATGGGAAGGCTAGCTGCCCCCGCAAGTCCTGCCCACCCCTTTCTTGCGGCAGGGGGGAGCTGGAGTACGTCGCTCAAGGAGAGTGCTGTCCCAAATGCGTGGGCACTGGTGGTGAGTATTTTGAAAGGGGTGCCCCACACAGTGAATTTGGCCTTAGTGAAGTGGCCCCAAGGAGTGGGGTTGACGTTGCTGCTCTGCACGTTGTCTTAGTGATTAGGTGAGACCATCTCTTCAGTTCTCAAACCAATGAAGAGTATTTTTCCCCTTTGCTTTGAATCCATTTGCTTCACGCCTCCTGTGCAGTACCCTGCCCAGACACACACTGGGGTATAGAACTTCTCCGAATTCTCTTTTCACGCTGCTCATTTTGGCTCTTGTAGATAAAGGCTGACATTTCCAAAGCTGCCTAAGGGATTTGGAGGTGCAGAGCCCATTAAAATTAAATGGGAGTTGGCATTCAACTCCCATAGGTCCCTTTGAAATCTCAGCCTTAACCTAAAGGCAAAATCTCTTAAAGGCTGGTGAAATTATTGATTTTTTCCCCCCTCCGATAAATTAGGCCTTTTGCGTTTTGAGACACACACAGTCTTATTTCAACCACATGCACAAAAATAATTCAAAAATCTTCACTTAAATCCACAGATGCTTCAGATTTTATACTTACTTTTGAAGCTGTGTACTTTATCCATCATTTAGGGCCTACAGACTAAATTCACCCCTCCTTAAGAGAGGGGAACCCTGACTCTACTTGAATTCAGTAGACTTGCAACTGCTTACACCAGGGCTGAAACTAGCATGAGTCAGATTGTTTGCAATATCTTAGCCGCATAATGTCAGCTGTGACATGCAGGCTGAATAGAATCAACTGTTCGACTAGAAAAAAGGTAGAAATGGCGTGAGTAAAATATCGGTGGCCCTAGGCTGTACAGCACATCTTCGTGGCAGTGTCCACACTATTCAAACTTGTCTTGTCAAACAAACCTGACTTCATAAATGATCTGGAGGATGGTGTGGATTGCACTCTCAGCAAATTTGCGGATGATACTAAACTGGGAGGAGTGGTAGATACGCTGGAGGGCAAGGATAGGATACAGAGGGACCTAGACAAATTGGAGGATTGGGCCAAAAGAAATCTGATGAGGTTCAATAAGGATAAGTGCAGGGTCCTGCACTTAGGACGGAAGAACCCAATGCACAGCTACAGACTAGGGACCGAATGGCTAGGCAGCAGTTCTGCGGAAAAGGACCTAGGGGTGACAGTGGACGAGAAGCTGGATATGAGTCAGCAGTGTGCCCTTGTTGCCAAGAAGGCCAATGGCATTTTGGGATGTATAAGTAGGGGCATAGCGAGCAGATCGAGGGACGTGATCGTCCCCCTCTATTCGACATTGGTGAGGCCTCATCTGGAGTACTGTGTCCAGTTTTCGGCCCCACACTACAAGAAGGATGTGGATAAATTGGAAAGAGTCCAGCGAAGGGCAACAAAAATGATCAGGGGTCTGGAACACATGACTTATGAGGAGAGGCTGAGGGAACTGGGATTGTTTAGTCTGCGGAAGAGAAGAATGAGGGGGGGATTTGATAGCTGCTTTCAACTACCTGAGAGGTGCTTCCAGAGAGGATGGTTCTAGACTATTCTCAGTGGTAGAAGAGGACAGGACAAGGAGTAATGGTCTCAAGTTGCAGTTGGGGAGGTTTAGGTTGGATATTAGGAAAAACTTTTTCACTAGGAGGGTGGTGAAACACTGGAATGCGTTGCCTAGGGAGGTGGTGAAATCTCCTTCCTTAGAAGTTTTTAAGGTCAGGCTTGACAAAGCCCTGGCTGGGATGATTTAATTGGGGATGGGTCCTGCTTTTGAGCAGGGGGTTGGACTAGATGACCTCCTGAGGTCCCTTCCAACCCTGATATTCTATGATTCTATGATTCTATGATTCAGTTTTTCATGAGATTACAGGTTTGGTTCATTAAGTATGTTATGCAGTTACCTTCGAGTTTTGTAAGGCATATTGACTTAGTGCTGCATGCAGGGCTGTCCTTAGAGGGTGCAGGGCCCGAGGTGGAAGTGACGGATTCATCTCTTCCGGGACAGACCGTACTGGCCAATCGCATTGCCCACGGGGTCCCCAGAGCGGGGGGGCCTAGGGCAGAAGTGATGGATTCGTCTCTTCTGGGACCGACTGCGTTAGCCAATTGCACTGGCCTGTGGAGCCCCGCGAAGTGTGGGGCCCAGAGCGGTCACCCCAATTTGCCCTACACAAGGGATGGCTCTGGCTGCATATCTCTATAAAAAATTAGTTCTGTACATTAGCACTACAGAACAGCTTGGATAGATTAAGAACTGGCTAAGTGACAGATGTCAAAAACTGGTTATTAATGGGAATCCTCATCAAATGGGGTGTTTCTCGTGAGGTTTTTCCAGGATTGAACATTTTTATCAGTGATATGGATGTAAATTTAGAATCACTGCTCATAAAATGTGCAGATCCTAAAAGATTGGTGGAGCGATAAGTAATGGCGAGGACAGGGCATTCAAACAGGGGTGCTCTGGATCACTTGGTAAACTGGGTCCTTTCAGACAAAATGAGTTTTAATACATCTGAATGCTAGGTTACAACATCTAGAAACAAAGAATGCAGGCCATGTGTATTGAATGGACTATATTCTAGAAAGCAGTGACTCTGAGAAAGGATTTAGGGGTCATAGTGGACAAACAACTCAACATGAGCTCTGAGCGTGATACTATGGTTAAAGGGCTAATGCGATCCTCAGTGTCATGAACGAGAGTAGTGAGTAGGAATAGAGAGGTGGTTTTACCTCTGTATAAGGCACTGGAGAAACCGCTACTGGAATACTGCATCCAGTTCTGGTGTCAACATTTTGAAAAGGATATTGAAAAATTGGGGAGGTTGCGGAAAAGAGCCACAAAAATGATTCAAAGGTTGGGGAAAATGCCTTACAGCGAGAGACTTAAAGGTTTCAATCTGTTTATCTTATCAACAAGAAGATTGAGAAGTGACTTGAATACAGGTTGTAACTACCTTCATGCGGATAAAGTAAAGGGTACTCAAGGGCTCTGTAGTTTAGCGAATAAAGACATAACAAGAAGCAAATGGCTGAAATATAAAGCCAGACAAATTCAAATTAGAAATAAGATACAAATTTTTAACAGTGACAATGATTAACCAGTGGAACAAACTACCAGGGGAAGTGGGGGATTCTCCATCTCTTGATGTCTTAGAGTCAAGACTGTTTACCTTCCTGGAAGATAGGCTTTAGTCAGACACACATTATTGGGCTTAATGTAGGGGTAACATGGTGAATTTAATGGCTTTCGATATTCAGGAGGTCAGATTACATGATCTACTGGTTCCTTTCTGGCCTTAAACTCTATGAATCTATCCTGAACTTACTTCACTGCGAATATAGGTACCACCTGTAGTTTGTAACCTCATATACAGATGTCAGAACCCAGAAGTAGATCTCAAAGCACGTTGGGACAATTTCAGGAGGAAGTAACATGGTTGATGCATTTCTCCAGTACCGAGATATCTCTTCTGCTTTCATTGGTTTAAATCTCAGACGTAACTTTGGACTCTTATAATCCTTGGCCTCTCTGCTGAGGTTGTCAACATCAATTAGGTCATTTGTCCACTGGTACTAGACTGAGACCAGCAGTTTACTGGGGCAAGGATCATGCTTTCTTTTGTGTTTGTAAAGCATCTCGTACATCATGGTTGCTACCAGAAACAAATAGATAATAAATAATAATTTCATACAGGACAATGAATTGGTGCAGTGGTTTTTTTTAATATTGCAATTATTCTGGGTCAGCTTCATGGAGATGGCTCTTCTAAAGTTCTTCCTTGCAGATGCTAATCAGTAGATGAGTCCTACATCTGCAGTCTTTTTTGTATGATTGTGAATGTCCATAAAGTCATTGCACATGTGAAATTGTGCTGGTAGGATGTGAGAAACCAGGAAAAATGTGTACAGGTGAACGCTGTGCAGCCAAATGGAGTTAGTAAGGAAAGTCATGGTCTGATGCTACTTCTGGGCTTTCCAGGGGGCAGAAGTTCCTAGAGTGTAGGGGATGGATCTGAGATGAAAGGAGTTGCATGAGGAGAGGGAATTAAAGAAAACATGAAAATGGAAACACAGAATGACTCACAGACTCATAAATGTTAAGGCCAAAAAGGACCATCATGATTATCTAGTGTGACCTCCTGCACATTGCAGGCCACAGAACCTCACCCACCCACTCCTGTAATAGACCCCTAGCCTCTGGCTGATTTACTGAAGTCCTCAAATGATGGTTCGAAGACTTCAAGTTTCAGAGAATTCACCATTTACTCTGGTTTCAACCTGCAAGTGACCCGTGCCCCATGCTGCAGAGGAAGGCGAACACTTCTCTGCCAATCTGACTTTGGGGAAAATTTCTTCCTGAACCTAAATATGGCAGTCAGTTAGACCCTGAGCATGTGGGCAAGACCCACCTAGCCAGACACCTGGGAAAGAATTCTCTGTAGTAACTCAGAGCCCTCCCTATCTAGTGCCCCATCACCGGCCATTGGAGTTATTTACTGCTAGCAGTCGCAGATCGGCTACATGCCATTGTAGGCAGTCTCATCATACCATCCCCTCCATAAACTTATCAAGCTCCATCTTGGAAGCCAGTTAGGTTTTTTGCCCCCACTGCTCCCCTTGGAAGGCTGTTCCAGAACTTCACTCCTCTGATGGTCTTAATTGTCTCTTAGAGTCCTGCTCCTTTGACGGCCAAATGTTTCGGGATGGCGAGGAGTGGCACCTCAGCCAGTGCTCCAAATGTGTCTGCAGGAATGGGGCAGCTCAATGCTTCACAGCCGAATGTCAGCCAGTGTTGTGCAGCCAGGTAAGAACTGTCCTGTCAATGATCTGTGCAATTTATTAGCTTTGCCTTTCCCTGGGAAATCTGCATTTCTCAAAAGAACATATTTACTGGCAGGCTAATAGTTATTACTGAAGGAAACATGATTCAGAAAAGAGAAGTGTATGCTCCACAAAAAAATAAAAGTCCCCCAAACCTCCAGCCATGTCCATTTATTTACAGTCTAATCTAGTGTAAACACCAGCTGTGCTTTTGGTTTTGTAATCCAGAGAATTCATGGTCAGGAAATATTTTTTGATTCTGTGAACAATTCTGAAAAAAGCAAAGTTTTATTTAAATGTTTCTTCAAAAGTTTTTTGAGCTTTTGTTGAAACCTGCTGATTTTTTGTTGTTGACAAGAACCTTCTCAAAATTTAGTTGAAAATGTTTCAAACTAAAAGTTTCAGCCAGCTTTACAATATTACTCCCAAAAGGTGACCGTGTTGTCTACTGATTACAGCAAAAGCCTGGGAGCCAGCAATGCTAGGAAGATAACTTGCTCATCTTCACCCAGCAAGTCAGTAATTTAGCCCAAATTAAAGAATCTGAGCACTTCTGGCTCCCAGTTCTTTGCTTAAGATGACAGTCATTATTCCCTCGCACATACACAATGATTTTCACATTCAAAGCACTGTACGAACGTTAACTAAAAGAATTCCAGTATGCTGGGTAATCCAGAAAATCAAAAGCATACTTAGTACTTTATATATTTGGTGGATGACAGGCAAGAATGCCAAAAAAAGAGCAAGGGATCTGGTTGGATTTAGCATCATAGAATATCAGGGTTGGAAGGGACCTCAGGAAGTCATCTAGTCCAATCCCCTGCTCAAAGCAGGACCAATCCTCAATTTTTGCCACAGATCCCTAAATGGCCCCCTCAAGGATTGAACTCACAACCCTGGGTTTAACTGCTCATGTGCAACCCCATTCATCTGTAAAATAAGAAACCAGCTTCCAGGGAGTTCACATTGTTCTGCTTTACTGTTGTTCTCGAGATGCTGTAGTTTTCCTGATTTTTGTTTCCCTGTCAAGCGCATTCCAGTCGCAAATCCAGAATTTTGTCTCCCTGGGTGTGTGGTGATGAAGGTTCCCACCTTAGAACTGGGAAAATAAAGCACCCATTACAAAGCTTTTTCTTTTAATGCTCGCCCACCTATGTGTTAGGGGACCAGGTGTTCATGTAATTAACACTGGTTCCTGTTTGAAAAAAGCCCAGCTGTTTCTCTGAATACTAATTGCTTCTTGCTGAGTTGTGTAATTAATATTACGAGATTAAGTGGTGTTCGTTAGAGCAAATTAAAGCAAAATTTCTAAATGTTTAGAATTTTTCCTCTTAAATGTACTTAAATGTACTCTTGATTGATTGCACTAATGTTTAATCAGTTAGTCATTAAAACGTAATTAATAGAAACTGGAATGAGAACATGGTTGCCATGACGTGTCTGAGACTAATCAGCTAGAAGCATCCAAGTTAATGTACCAAAAATCCCCCCTAGCTAATACTGATAATGTTCCATAGATTTCCTAACAAGGTGCCCTAATGGAAAGCGCATTAGCAGGCATGGCAAGAATCCCATTCTGCTCACTATAACTATAATTTTTTCAGTGCTCTGTGCTTGTGTATTTATACCTGTATTGCCCGGTCCAGGCTTCCAACAGCACACAGGAACGGGTAGCTTCTCTTATATGCTACGTCAGGCAGAATGGCAAGCCAGGGAAAGCTATCCTTCAGATAGCCATGCTCTGTCCCTTCTCTATAGTCTTTCTCCTGCCTCACTGCAGAGAGGGAACTTAGGAAGCTTCTGTCATCTTTGTCAGTGTTTTCTTCAAAGCTCTTTTAGGGCTAGATCCCGCCACTCTCATTCACCTGAAGTGGTACTTTACTCCTTTATTCCAATGGGACGATGTGTGGGGAAAAGGTACGGTCAGTGTGTGTAATCCAAGGGTTTGTTTAGCTCTCCATGCTCTGTACAGTGCGTACCATCAAAGAGCCAGGAGAGAAGAGGAAAAATGCCCTGCAAGTGAAAGTTCCCTAGGCCTGAGCAGGCAGCTTCTGGTGGAACATGAAAAGAGTGGCTGGCAGTTTCAGAGCTCGCTTTGCTTGCTTGTCTCCAGGGAACAAGAGGCAGTCCCCAAAACCCAAGTCAGAGAAAGGGTCATTTGTTAGACTTCATCTGGCAAAATCTATGAATTACCACCATGAACTTTCCCAGGAGGTTTCTGGCTCTCCAGCCCATCCCTTGGAGGTTGGACATTTGGAAAAACTTCCTAACTGTCAGGGTGGTGAAGCACTGGAATAAATGGCCTAGGGAAGTTACGGAATCTCTGTCACTGGAGATTTTTAAGAGCAGGTTAGACAAACGCCTGTCAGGGATGGTCTAGATAATACTTAATCCTGCCATGAGTGCAGGGGACTGGACTAGATGACCTCTCGAGGTCCCTTCCAGTCCTGTGATTCTATGACAGTCATCTTTGTTCTCCCTTTGGACGCTTGTGATTTACGTGCTATCTCCTGAAGCAGGAGCTAACATAATAATATTTTGCATTTCTATAGCACTTTCCATGTTTGGAGCACCTTAGGTATATTAACTAATTAATCTTCACTAGATCCCTATGCGGCAGGAGGTAGATACTGGTGTAAATATTATTGTTCCCACTTCACTGGTGGGATACTGAGGGTTGATCAACACACAGAATTGTGCAGGTTTTAACTAAATGTGATTTTTAAGGTATGTTTGCCTTTAAAATGCTGCAGCTACACCGCTGTAGCACTTCTGTGTAGATGCTCCCTGCGCTAATGGGAGGGGTGCTCCCCACAGCATAGGTAAGCCACCTCCCCTAGAGGCAGTAGCTGGGTTGATGGAATAATTCTTCCATCGATCTAGCGCTGAATATGCTGTGGGTTAGGTTGGCTTAACTACGCTGCTCGGGTGTGGATTTTTCATACCCCTGACTGATACAGTTAAGCCGACTTAATTTTCTAGTGCAGACCGGGCCTTAGACTGATTCAGTTAAGCCATTGCAAAAGGCTGTGTGAACAGTCTTACTGGTTAAAACCAGCAGGCTTATTTCATTTTCGCTTAGGTCAATTAGCAACAAGTTTAAACGAAACTAAAGTAAGCCACTCTTAGACTGAAGAGGGTTATACCACACCAATTTAACTAAACTGGTGCCAGTTGGTGTGTAGACAACCTCTGAGGCAGAGAGGTTAAGTGACTCATCCAAGGCCACAAAGTGAATCAGTGGCAGAACCAGGTCTAGATTCTAGATCTCTCCTAATTTCTAGTCTTGAGCCTAATCCTGTAGACCATACTGCTTCTCTTTAGTCATGGTTCCACCATTGTCTGTCTCAAGAGGCCCCAAGAATAAGATGTAGTGTCTTGGTGCTTGCCCTTCTACTTTTACAGCAGAATGCAAAGCTGACCCCAAAATTCTTACCCTAATTCATGGCTTAAGTGGCTGATGGTTATCACATAGATATAAACATCTTTTGCAGGAGTTACAGGTCTAGGCTGCTGGGCTGCATATTTAATTTTCAAACTGTTACTCTGCTCATCTCTTTTTTTTTAAATAAAGTTTTCTGGTTTTTAATCTTTAGGATGAAGCTATGGTTGTGTCTCCTGGAAAATGTTGCCCAGAGTGTGTTCCAAAACCCTGTTCCATATCTGGAAAAGTGTATGAGGTAACCTTTGATGAACCACACCAAAAACCAACCTGACGTGAATTCTGGCACATCTCTATTTTTCCCCTCCCTAACATCTGACTTTCTGCCAGCATTAATAACTTGGTACAATGGCTGTTTTTTTTATTTCCTGGGAAGCTAAGAGTTGAAAGGGATTAGAAATATAAAGGAATTTGCTGGCAAGGTTGACGGGATAAATTAGATAAGATATTTACTGTTCATGTATCTTTTTTTTTTTTAAGTGGGAAAACAAATCATTGATGAAAGTCACTCTCTCCTCTCTTCTTCCCTTTTTATATCCTGATCATGAAGCAATATGCACTGTTTCTATGCACGTGAAGCAATATGCACTGATTTTAAAAAAAATCTCTGTACTTGGATACATGTACATATAAGGAACTCATGGGGAAATACATAGTCCAGGAGAGAATGTGGTGATGGTTACTGCTTTATTTTTTATTTATATATGTATCTATCTGTCTTCTTTCTGGACAGCATGGTGAGCAGTGGAAGAAAAATTCCTGCACTACCTGTGTATGTGACAGAGGGGAAGCAAAGTGTCTTAAACAGGACTGTTCCCCACGTACCTGTGAGAAGGTAATGCAGCAGTGCACGGCCTCGCGATCAGGCTGCGTATCTCACTCGCCCCTTTCATATAGGGCTGCAGGAGGGCTTGAAAGGTTAGCACTTACTGAGTATTGATGTTTGCTAGGATCAGAACAAAGTGCAGCGTCCTGGGAAATGTTGCGAGGAGTGCGTTTCTTCCAAAGGAAGCTGCTTCTACGAAGGCAACATCAGGTATCACAATGAGATATGGAATGGTACTCGCTGTGAATTTTGCACGTGTGATGGAGGACAAGTCACTTGTCAGAACGGAGAGTGTGCCAAAGTGGAGTGCGCCTTGGTAAGAAAAGATTTCTTCTTTAAGAATATAATGGTCAGTTCCTGATTTTCTTTCTTTACTGATTGATTTAATGAGATACCTTAAGAATTTGGCTGTGATTCCATCACTTGCCTCCAAAGCACTTAACTGGAAACAAGGAATGGAAATGACAGTCAATTTGTATGTGCAAGGCAGGCAGGAGGTTAACTGTCTTGTGTTGTGCAAGCAGCATGCCTGGGTGAATTGGTGGCTACCTTACTTTTTGATTGTCTGCAGCATTGTCACTATCTACCTGGTAAGAAATGGCTTCAGGAGAGCGTGTGCTGAATTTGGTGCAGAAACCATAGACCAGAGGCAGCCAGTTCTGTCAAAAACTGTGAAGAATTTTGCCCTTGATCTTTGCTAGGACTAGAAAGCAAGATCTTAGCTAAGGTATTAGCCACTAGACTTAGTGACCCCCTACCTATTTTCAGACAGTGAGCAGTCAGGGTTTATGAGAAGGAGATTTGTGATGGACAACATCATAAATATATTTACCTCTTACTTCAAGCTCAGATCATAGTTCATATTATAATTGCCCTGTTAATGGATGCAGAAATGGTTTTGGTAGGGTTGGTGGGCCCTATCTATTTGCTGTATATAAAGAAAAGGTTTTTGGATCAACTTTCCTCCACTAGATAAAACTTCTTTCTTTCACTATTAGTGTCACTGCTAACCAGTGGGCTAATATCTGCTTCATTCCAACTGGGCCAGAGTAATGCAGGGAAGGAATTGTGGCCTTAGGCATATCTCTAGCTCACAATACTTGGCAAGAACACTCCTAGGATGGTAAAATTTATTTAATACCCCGGATCAAGGCTGTGCCCACGGTCTAGCCCAAAATCTGAGTATATGCATGGATATAAGGTGAATTGGAGTAAGTCTAATTTAATGGCTGTATCAGAAAGTTGGGTTCTGACACAGTGCAAACACACTTTCATTCCAGCAAAAGCAGAGATCATGTATCTAGGAATAAAGTTATGTGCTAACTCATGTAACATTATCTCTTTAAATATTAAAAATACTTTGTATTTTCCTCTCTTGATTCATTCTTATTGACGTTACAAAGAGGAATATTGGATCCAAACTTTTATTGTCAAAGGGAATGCTGCCTTGTTACCTTAAAATGCTTAAATAAAACTACCTAAACTACTACTGAATTTAGTTGGATGGAAAGTCAAGCTTCTTATATAAACAAGACAAGATCAAGGGGTAAACTGGGAATAGGTCTTCTGGGTTTGTATCTCTTTTACTTCGCTTTCCACGTGCACACAGTTGTAAAATGAAACGCTTACACTAATGATTACATACCATCATGGCTCAACATTGAAAATGATTTAGCAGCTCCATTTGGTGCATTGCAGACATTCCCATATCTCGAACTCTTACTAGTACCCATGAGAGAAAAACTTGTATTCAGTACAACTTGGGATGTACAACTGAAGATGCTCACCGATACAGATTCATCATACTTAGTATTCCGCCCCAGATTGGACCATCCAACGTTTATGATCACTCTACAGACAGATAATAAAAATGTGGACTCATAAACAAATATATAAAGTAGCAGATCTAATTTCTACTGACAAATTGGATCCTTTCCCTTTCTTACGGAGAAAAAATTGCTTGTGTTTTGTGTGCAGGAGACAGATCCTGAGTGGTGCTGAGTGCCATTAACACTTATTGAATTCAGTGGGCATTAAGAGCATGCTAAGCTTGGCCGAATTAGGTTCCGTGGAAAACCTCTTCAAACCTGGGTGTCCCAAGTTAGGCATCAAAATAAGTAATATTGAAATCGGTGAAGTGTGGGCGTTGGAAAAGACAGGAAAAGTGTTTTTTTGCATATTGAAGAAGAATTTTGGTCCTAATGGATAGAAAATAAAAAAAGATGTTTTGTTTGAGGACTTGCATCCTATAAGACTTCCCAAAAAGGTGAGGCAGCTGTCTTGGATCATTTGTGATAGAATTCCGGCTCAGTAGTACAAGACATGCATTAATTTATTCCAAGGACAATATGAAATGTCTCATAAAAGAATCTTAAAGCGGGTAGGTTGTCATTTTTTCCTCTTCTTCTCCAAGTCTTGCAGCTTTGCTGGCAAAATCTGAGATTTTTTTGCCTGCCTCAGTAAATCAGAGCTTAACTGAAGCAAGGAGTCTGTGGGGTTTAGCTAGGTAAACCTAGGTAGTTCGACCTAGCATAGCAGCAGCTGATGGGACTAGAGCTAGGGCTTAATTTTAAAACCCTTTCAAACAAAACCTACCCAGTAATTGCAGAGTGAATATGACTGTGATGACTCTGAGGGGCCCTCAGGTGAGCTGTGAGTTGTAGTCTTCAAGGGGGGCTGCTGGAAACTGTCTGGTAGGTGTGGATAGGGTGGTTGCTGAAGTGGATTTGGTCAACCAAAACCACTTTAGCTGTCAGAAACATAACCCATCATGCTAGTTCCCACCGTCCCTTCCATGAATTGCTGTAGAGACAGCTTTCAGGGACGTTTCTGAAGAGTACAGCTCATGGGTGGCTGAAGGTGAGACTGAGCCATGCCTAAGAATGAGGTTCCTGTTTCCACATCATCCCATTTTGGAGACTCTCTCTAAACAGTCCCGTCATAAAGGGAACAATGGGCCAGATCTTGCAAGGTGTTGCGTGACTAACATGCTATCAGCAGGTCTTAGGATTGGTCCTAATGTTATGAAGATAAGGAGCAAATTTAGATCATTGTATTGCACAGCTTTTCTCCTTTCCTTGCAGATTGTTCTAGTTACTTTTGCACACCAGTGAAATCTTAAAGATCTAAAGGTGTGTGTGTGTAAAAACATTTTATTTTCCTCAGTCTGACACCCCTCCTTACTCCCTTTCCACATTCTTAATATTGAATGTAATGACTAAAGCCTCTTAAACAAGAGTGCAAGTGACATAGTTATCTCGCATAGTGCCTCCCACTTCTGAGTCTTGGCAGGCCAGGGCTGCCTTTTTTGGCAAGGAGAATCATGTCCCATACACATTTTCCCCCCTCATCCTTTGTATAAGTGTCGGTGTGTGTTGGAGGTGGGAAAGTTCACAGTACATACTAGTGGCATGGGTTCTTACCATACACCACGGAGTTTTGCAAGAATGGTTTCAATATCTAGATACTTGTAGGAATGCCCAGTGATGGATTAAAGTGAAATGTCTCCCCGATTGACTGAAATCATAGTGCTTCAACTTACTACAGTTGGTGGCCCTTTCAAAGCATTGGGCCCACATTGGCCATTCTGGCATAATCTGCCATTGGTAACGCGGCTGCACTTGTGTATATGTAGCCAAACTGGCATGCTATGTTTTCCTAAGTGGAACACTGTAAAATATACCATTGTGATTCTATGAACAGATATTCTTTAGGGATGCACCCTAAGCTGCCGTAAATAATAGAGCTACATCAAATAATACCAGTTGGCTTGTCGGAACGGTTGACTTTTATGAGCCAGCCATGGGAAGTAGCCGCATGCTTCCGTTGAAGTTAATGGGAGTTGTGGGCAATATCCCCTTGTTGGCTTTGAAAATCTCAGCCACTGTCGAACTCTATACTTGCCTCTTGCCCCTTACCTCTGTTTTAATATTGTGACAATACTAGTGATTGAGCAATGGCTGGTTATCCAGCAATCCTGGCGGATATATGGAAACCTTTGAATCCAACAACAGTTCATTTGATTGTGGGAATTCACCAGTTTTCTCTTCACTCTACTCCAGACTTAGGGAGCTGAGGTGTAACCTTCCCCTGCAGCGTAGGTGGCCAGGAGTGTTTCACTGTCACTTCACTCAAGAGCAGCAAATCCTGAGCACAATGAAGACTGCAATGAACCCGGGGATGTAGCCAGCTTTTCCATTCATGGGGAGTTTTTGTTAGCTGTTGTTTTCGTGTGTGTGTGTGTGTGTGTTTATGTATATATTAACAGTTCAATAACAGAATTTGAAAAGAGAGTTTTGCACATATAGAACAGCTCCCCCATGACTGGAAGTTCATTAAGGGCTTGATACAAACCCCATTTAAGTCATTGAAAAGAATCCCACTCACTCCTGCAGAGACTGAATCACACCCTGTAGCTAGAATTCTGGTGCATAGAAACAGTATGAGAAAACTGTTCCACTTCACTATAAACAGGGTTTGACTATATCCAAAAGCACTATCCATCTATTAATATTCCCCACTCCACCATAGTATCTGAGCACTTCTTACATATTAATGAATAATCTGCACAACACCCCTAGGAGGTAGGTAAATACTATCCCAAATTTTAGAGAGGGATTAAAGGGTGCAATTTACAAAAGCAGTCAGCATTCACCATTGACTTCCCGGGCAGCAGAATTAGTCTAATGCTGTGTTCGTTTAAAAATCTCACCCTGGGGCTGGTCCACGAACTAACTTGCACTGAAATAGCTAAATTGGTTGTTAGTTCACCTTTTATTATTTTGGTGCAAGTCTATGTATGGAATTAAAATAGCCTATTTTGATTTAATTTGTATATGTACATCCATTTTTAGGCCCCTTTATATCACCTTAGCAGTGTCAAGAGGTCTTAATGTAAGTGAGAATCCGGCCGAGAGAATCAAAGGCAGAGACAGGAATTGAACCTAGCTCTCCTAAATCTAATCCAGGTTCTTTAAACATAAGACCATTCTTTCTCTCCTGAAAGTGTTTCACTTCCATTCACGCACAATGGACTTGGAGCAGATGGAAGGCCCTATTTCCATTTCTTATGGAAAAATTATGATCTCAGTTACACTGGTGTAATCGCAATATCTCTGTTACAGTTGTAATCAAGAATAGAATTTAGATCAATATAATGTATGTTTTAAAATTTACCATGAACATTTTTTAAATTTTTAGTCTTTAAGAGAAAAATGGAACATAGAAAATGAAGAGAGAGAGCTGTATTTTAAGGTTGTGAAAGTTTTCAAGTAAAATCCAAGGAATTCAGAGTGAAAAATGACATACCAGTTTCTATGTATTTTTAATGGTTTGGTTTGGTTTGGGGGCTTCTTTTACAGCGGCGAGAGTTAAGGATGATACAGTTGCTTTATCAGTGAATTTCCTGAACTTTTCTGGGGTTCGTTCTGCAACCACAATGTTATTTAAACACGCTTTTCAAAACATACATACAGAGATGAAGTAGGATGTAGGGAAGATAAGATGCAATTGGATATTGAAGATTGCATTCCAGTGTGATAACCATTCTGCTTCTGCATTCCGCAGTATTGCTTGGAAATGCTAATTTCATGCGGCAACCTCTCTCTCTCTCTCTCTGTAGGGTGAAGAATTAATTCATTTGGAGGGGAAGTGCTGTCCTGAATGTACTTCAAGGGGTAGTTACTGTGTGTACAAGGAACATACCAAAGATGTGAGTATCCTGGTAATTTGGAACACATAACACAGCATGTTAAGCTTGTGAGGGTTTGGAGAAGTGAAAGTCTGTCTCCTCAAAGTCTGGAAAGAACATTATTTGCTGAGTCTTACAAAAGAATAATCCGTTAATATTACTTACCCAGAGGGTTTTTGCATTTTATAAAATCTGCTAGTTTATAATTTTCTGCACCACCTAAGTCTCCTAAGGCTCTTTTTATTACACAGAGGAAAGCAAAGCAAATTGAATCAATCATTCCTGTTTAATGTTTTATATACATACCCTTAAGTTTTCAGTGGATCTCCTGGGGTTTAAGATGTTTGACTTTCATTTCAGTCAGTGGGAGCTGCACAACTGAAGCTCAGTGCAGCTTTCTGAAAATGTTGCCCATTGGTTACTATTTTCACTGCAACAGGAGTCTGTTATTCAGGGATATTTGTTATCAGCTTTTCTTCTCAAATTGACGATGCAATTTCTTTTGATGAAGTACAATAGGAGGCCTTTCATTGTTGTGACAAATGAGTAATGACGCTAACCACTACTTACGTAGAAATTAATAGCTCTTAACAGAATACTTTTAAGAGATGCAGGAAGTAGAGGATTCGGGTGTTTTCTAAACAGGACCATATCTCATTCTGTCTGTAGATCTCACTCCCTGATGTGAGTGGAGTAAAACACATCAAGGTGAGTATATTGCATATTTCAGCTCATGCATTATCCTTGTTAACAGAGAAATCCATGATATAAGGCCATCTAAGAACCAGGCTGAGCCTCCCCCATGCTTTTACACCCTCCCTTATGGGGGTCAAGCACAATTACAGTCAATGAGTGTAGGTAGTGCTCCCTGTCAGCAGCCCCAGGGGCACAAAGGATACGTCTACACAGCCCATGGCAGAGAGCCTCCCAGCCCGGGTTGACAGACTTGGGCTCGTGAGACTTTCACTTGCACTCTGAAAACAGCTGTGTAGACAGGGCTTTCAAATTTCAGCTCGGGCTCTGAAGCCCACCCCTGTCCCGAGACTTTAGATAGGTGCAGCTATTTTTAGAGAACTATCCCGCTAGCCCAACTCTGTTGACCCCAGGCTGGGAGGCTTGCGTCGGCGAGCTGTGTAGACATACCCAAGTGGGACAGGGAGTCGTTGGGACAATGGCTCTTGCTGTCCCCTGCCCTCGCCAGCAAAACTAGCTGGGTGCAGAAAGGGCAGTGTGCTGCACCATCCGAAAGACTGGCTTTTGTCAAGGCAAATCGCGCCCTTTCAGTCTTCCAGAATTCCCTGAGTGTGTCGACAGAACAGTTGTTCAAGGAAAAAGAGGAGACAAAAACTTATTTAGACTTTCAAAAAGCCTGTGATAAAGTCCCACCCAAGAGGCTTTTAAGAAACTCAGTAAAGAAGGTGAGAAGCAAAGTGCTGTCCTAGACTAGAGACCAGCTAAAAGATAGAAAACAAGCAACTGCAATGAATGGTCAGTTTTCGCCATGGGAGAAGATTAACAGTGGAGGACCCCCAAGATTCTGTACTTGGCACAGTGTTGTTTAATGGATTTATTAATCAACGGGGGAAAGGGATTAAATAATGAGGTGGCAAAATTTGCAGATGAAACACAAGTATTTATGTTGGTCAAGACTTAGAGAAGATAGAGGTAGCACAGCACAACGGGCAATCAGAATTCATTGTTAATAAATTAACTCTCTAACCACTTGGGAAAGACCAGGGCATCATTCTGAGAGGAGAGAGAGACACAAGAGGGGACTTGATAGACGTGTGGTCTTGAAGATGTGAATCAGTTGCTCCTATTTACTCTCTCATACCTTAATATGAGAACAAGGAAACAGCCAATAAAACTGAAAGGCAATACATTAAAAACTGAGAAAAGAAAGTACTTCTTCACAATGCCAAGTTAACCTAGGGAGGTCATGGCTGCAGTGTATACTTGAGGGGAAGACCTTAACAGGATTATAAAAAGGCTTAGATGTCTATAGGAATAATGAAAACCTCAACAGTTACATCAGACCTGATAAAAATTATATGGGACACAAACCCTTATTTTTCATGTCATAAGCCCAGAGGTAAAACTGATGGTGATTCAGAAAAAAAAACAACTTCCCCCTTGGGCAGCTTATTTGTCCATTATAGAGATTCTTGTACTTTACTTTGAAGACAGGAATGGACAGGGCTTCTGGACAAGATGGAGCACAGGTATGGCAATTGGTGTGTTCCTGTGTTCTTGTTCTTGTTGTGAGAATATGGCTGATAATGGTTATCCCTCTATTAGATTCTCTGCTTTATTTGGGGATTGCTATAGGTCACAAAGCAGAGGCTGTCCTTTGTTTAGTATCATTGCTCATTATGCAAACTTCTAGCTGGCCGCTAGACCTGCAACTGTTCATCACATGCCGCAGGATCTGGATTTAGCCCCACTGCTGAACTCAGCATCAATGCAAAGAGAACGGAGCCCTCACGTAAGACGTTCAATATTGTCTTTTGCAGAACGGAGAGAAATGGAAAGAAGACCTGTGCAAGGAATGTGAATGCCGGGACGCCGAAGTGATCTGCTATCGACGCTCTTGTCCGTCCTGCCCATTGGGCAGCCTGGCAGTAAAGGTGGAGGGAGACTGCTGCTCGCAGTGCCAGTCAGGTATTTGTGCGAGGCAGCTTCTGCTGACATTGGTAGTTCTGTACAGGCTGGATTCTGACCCCTGTCTTATTACAGGGGTATAAACCTTTGTAAGCCGGCCCCTCATAACTGAGGCCAGGAAATGAAATTCTTTTACGAATGCTCCCCAGTGAGGCACTGGTGTTTCAGGGGCCTAAAGAGGGTGTGTGATGCGTCTCAGGGGTACCCAGGGTTGTGAGGCACCTCACTACCACCTGCCCTTAGGACAAGGAAGTTTGTGCCTGCCATGAGCCAGCTCCCCAACTCCATCGCTACAGCCAATCCGAGCACTGCCCTCTAGGCCTTGCTGTCATTGTCCAGATTAGCGACCCATTGACACATACCAGCCTCTGAGCGTCAGCCAGCAATGTCCAGCTGCTGGTCCTGTGGACACTTGCAATATTCACAGATTTGTTGCTTCAGAAAATCGGTACACCCCCAGCTAACCAGTTCCACCTCCATCGACCCGCCACTAACCCACAGCACTGAATGAGGTTAATTGTGAAACCAAATATCACTTTATTTAACAAACATAGAGAATCAATTAATAGCAAGTAGCAATATTGGAAATATGATTAGATATAAAATAAAATCATAATACGCATTTCAGAGCCTGGACGTAATGAACAAGATACTCTAATGTCTTTAAGAGTATTGCTTATCCAACATCCTTGCAGCGTGTTACAGCCAGGCTGACTCTTTCAAGAGACATGCGTGCTTTCGGTTTGCCTCCTCGGCGAAGGATTCCATGTCTCTCTTTGTGCTTCAAGATATACCAGACCAATCCTTTGTTTTTATTCAGAAACAGGGCACCCCTTGCTGTTTGTTTCTTCCTGTGGATTTCCTCTCTTGACGATTTTGCAATCTCACAATGTGCCCCTGGCTCAGTGTGAAAATAGGTAGACAATACACCAATGGCTGGACAGGGAGATAGCTGTCAGTCATCTCGTGCTCGAAAGGAACACCTCCGAGGTATGTCACCTCCTGGTGACCTGCCTTATCACCAAGACCTTCAGAACATAATGTTCAGTATGGATACATAATTCCTTAATATTATCCGTACAGACATTTCTCAGTGATTACGATGACCAGTGGGCAACTGGCTCTTGGTAGAGACCTCAGATGCCACCCTTTGTTGACCTACTATGCTGATAGCCAACCCAGGGGATCTCTGTAAAACCCCATGCACTTCCCTGTGCCATCTGCCTGTTGGCTCTCTGGGTCACAGGAAGTACAAGCGGACATTAGGGGTTTGATTGTGCAATCCTCACTCACACTGGTTAATCTGAGTATCAGATCTAGTTGGGGATTGGTCCTGCTTTGAGCAGGGGGTTGGACTAGGTGACCTCCTGAGGTCCCTTCCGACCCTGATATTCTAGGATTCTATGAATACTGTTAACTTCATTGGGGGTAGGCGTAGGTGCTTACCAGTGTGAGTAAAGGTCACACAACTTAGCCCTCGTATTCCTCGGGCTTCTCAGTATTATCAACGTTCTTGCGACAACTGTTTTGATTTCAGCTTTGCTGTGTCTGTTTGGTTTGGTGATCAGTAATTATCCACCCTCTCTATATAATCTAAATAAGATTTCAGGATAGGTTCAGGACTCAAGCCAAAGGCTCCCTCTGACTTCAGTGGAATTGGATCAGGACCCTCAGAGCCATCCTTTGGCAAAGTAAAAAGAATCGCTACTTGGAGACTGTTGTCCTGGAAATGTTTTTCATTCCTTTTTTAAAAAACTCTGAAATCTTCTAACAAACAAACAAAGGCTCGTGCACTTTCTCTCTCAATTATAACAAGTTTATGGGCATATGATTAATTTCCTTTAAAAAAATATGCTCTCTTATACTGTAATGCCACTTCCAGTTCACCTGGAGTCGAATTAGAGCCAGTTAATAATTATCTGGAAACATTTGAATAGCTTTGGCTATGGAGCAATGTTTCATATAAATTATTTTTCCCACAGGATGTTGTCATTTCCCCTTCGTTTCCATTTCATAGTTGGTCGGTTTTATCTGCAGATTCCTAATTTTCCGTATTGGCAGCCGCTCGTGTTGCACTCCACGGGCTTTGGTTAATCAGAGAGCTCCAGTTTGTCACAAGAAAAAGAAAACAGCTTTAGCAGTTTAATTATGCTGTCATTGCAGAAGTGGCTCAGAGTGCTTGTCAGATAAATATTTAAAGCGTATTTGTTGAACGGACAAAAAAAAAAAAGCGTTTGTAAATCCAAAAGGCAAAGCCTTTGGGACAGGCCACCTAAACGTAGAGACATCTCACAGGCTACCGAAGGGGAGCTCTTTGGGCATAAGAAAAGAGAAAGTGGGAGGGGGTTAGACTGGGAGACCCAAGTTCAATTTCCTGATTTATCACAGACTTCCCTTGTAAACTTGGGCAAACTGCTCCGTGGCTTTTGAAAATGTTATCCCTGAAGTCCCATTTTCAAAAGTGACAGCTATTCGGTCCCCTGGACTTCCAGTGAGACTTAGGCTTCTAAGTGCCGAAGTCATTTAGGGGCTTTAAAAATGTTTAGCCTTGGTCTCTCTGTGACTCAGTTCCCCATCTGTACAATGGGAATAATAGCGCAGCCCTTCTTTGCAGGGGTGTTGTAGGGATAAATTAACTAAAGACTGTGAGGAGTTCAGATGCTAAGCTAATGGGAACAGATTTGGGAGAAAGTGTGTCTGTGATTTGAAAACACTGCATCGTATTAACAGGTCTATATTTTCTGGGCTGGATTTTCCAAAGAGCTCAGCTCGCATGAGGGCACTTCAATGAGGGGGGCAGGTTTTAAAATATTCCTGGCACCAGAAGTTCTCATTCGTATCAATAGGAGCTGCTGGGTGAACATAAGAAACATAAGAACATAAGAAAGGCCATACTGGGTCAGACCAAGGGTCCATCCAGCCCCGTATCCTGTCTACCGACAGTGGCCAATGCCAGATGTCCCAAAGGGAGTGAACCTAATAGGTAATGATCTAGTGATCTCTCTCCTCCATCTATCTTCACCCTCTGGCAAACAGAGGCTAGGGACACCATTCCTTGCCCATCCTGGCTAATAGACATTAATGGACTTAACCTCCATGAATTTATCCAGTTCTCTTTTAAACCCCGGTATAGTCCTAGCCTTCACAACCTCCTCAGGCAAGGATTTCCACAGGTTGAGTGTGCGCTGAGTGAAAAAGAACTTCCTTTTGTTTTAAACCTGCTACCCATTAATTTCATTTGGTGGCCCCTAGTTCTTATATTATGGGAACAAGTAAATAACTTTTCCTTATTCACTTTCTCCACACCACTCATGATTTTATAGACCTCTATCATATCCCCCCTTAGTCTCCTCTTTTCCAAGCTGAAAAGTCCTAGCCTCTTTAATCTCTCCTCATATGGGACCTGTTCCAAACCCCTAATCATTTTAGTTGCCCTTTTCTGAACCTTTTCTAATGCCAGTATATCTTTTTTGAGATGAGGGGACCACATCTGCACGCAGTATTCAAGATGTGGGCGTACCGTGGATTTATATAAGGGCAATAAGATATTCTCCATCTTATTCTCTATCCCTTTTTTGATGATTCCTAACATCCCGTTTGCTTTTTTGATGGTCGCTGCACACTGCGTGGACGTCTTCAGAGAACTATCCACGATGACTCCAAGATCTTTCTCCTGATTAGTTGTAGCTAAATTAGCCCCCATCATCTTGTATGTATAGTTGGGGTTATTTTTTCCAATGTGCATTACTTTACATTTATCCACACTAAATTTCATTTGCCATTTTGTTGCCCAATCGCTTAGTTTTGTGAGATCTTTTTGAAGTTCTTCACAGTCTGCTTTGGTCTTGACTGTCTTGAGCAGTTTAGTATCATCTGCAAACTTTGCCACCTCACTGTTTACCCCTTTCTCCAGGTCGTTTATGAATGAATTGAATAGGATTGGTCCTAGGACTGACCCTTGGGGAACACCACTAGTTACCCGTCTCCATTCTGAAAATTTACCACTTATTCCTACCCTTCTTTCCCTGTCTTTTAACCAGTTCTCAATCCATGAAAGGATCTTCCCTCTTATCCCATGACAACTTAATTTACGTAAGAGCCTTTAGTGAGGGACCTTGTCAAAGGCTTTCTGGAAATCTAAGTACACTATGTCCACTGGATCCGTCTTGTCCACATGTTTGTTGACCCCCTCAAAGAACTCTAATAGATTAGCAAGACATGATCTCCCTTTACAGAAACCATGTTGACTTTTGTGCAACAATTTATGTTCTTCTATGTGTCTGACGATTTTATTCTTTACTGTTGTTTCAACTAATTTGCCCGGTACTGACGTTAGACTTACCAGTCTGTAATTGCCAGGATCACCTCTAGAGCCCTTCTTAAATATTGGCGTTACATTAGCTATCTTCCAGTCATTGGGTACATTAGCTAATTTAAAGGACAGGTTACAAACCATAGTTAATAGTTCCGCAGTTTCACATTTGGGTTCTTCCAGAACTCTTGGGTGAATGCCATCTGGTCTCGGTGACTTGTTACTGTTAAGTTTCTCAATTAATTCCAAAACCTCCTCTAGTGACACTTCAATCTGTGACAATTCCTCAGATTTGTCACCTACAAAAGACGGATCAGGTTTGGGAATCTCCCTAACATCCTCAGCCGTGAAGACTGAAGCAAAGAATTCATTTAGTTTCTCTGTGATGACTTTATCGTCTTTAAGTGCTCCTTTTGTATCTCGATCGTCCAGGGACCCCACTGGTTGTTTAGCAGGCTTCCTGCTTCTGATATACTTTACTTAAACATTTTGTTATTACCTTTTGAGTTTTTGGCTAGCTGTTCTTCAAACTCCTTTTTGGCTTTTCTTATTACATTTTTACATTTAATTTGGCAGTGTTTATGCTCCTTTCTAGTTACCTCACTAGGATTTGACTTCCACTTTGTAAAAGATGCCTTTTTATCTCTCACTGGGTGCTGAGTGCTTTTGAAATTCTGCTGACTTCGTTTAGGTGCCTAACTGCGTGCTGAGCTCTTTGGAAAATACCATCTACGGAGATCATTGCCTGGGGCTGTATAGAGCCAAGCCTGTGTTCTGCATACTCCCTGCTCCCCTTGAAATCTCCTTTCCACGGACCCGCCCACTACGTCTCTCCATGCTGCATCAGAGGCAATGAGAGTTTTGCAGTGCAGGGTCCAGGCTGATGATCCTGTAAAACCTTCCAAAATTTTAACTGTTTAGCCCAGAGTTCTCCAAACTCTCCCATGGCGTTGTCCCCACCTTCCCACAAACTATAGCAGGGGAAGAGCTTCCCTCACCCAAATGTTTTCATGAAGCCATTGTAAATTACTGGTCTCTGACAGATGCACTTTGGGGGGGAAACCCACACTCCCCTACCCAGTGCGTAGTGTCGCTCTTTCTAAGCTGAGGCCTGCTCATGGGACAGCAGCTGGTTCTACTTTCAGGGAACACTTTGGATTAGTGCAGAGAGCTTCGCTCCTGAATGGAGCCTAAACTGTGCCCTACCTCTCTCAGCAGTAAGGTGATTGTCAAGCAGTGGAGACGCTGCTACGTGTGCATAGGGACAGGGCAGACCATTCTCTGTTTATTTAGGTAAAAATGATTCAGCAATAAAGAAAAAATATTCGGTCCCTCGGCCACCACACGGAGGCCAGCCTTGTAGTGTGAGAAACACCTACTATGTAGGGAAATATCTTGTCGTAACCCTGTCCCGTCAGGTGATCTCTCTGCGTCACTAAGCCTGCAACCCCTGCTCCAAGCTGACTTGGCCAAACTCCCATTGACTTTGTTACGGGATATGGCCTGAGGTAACTCAAGTTCCGATTGCTGTGGGCCATTAATTCCTGATGATATAAGAATATCAATGAAAAGAGACAACATGGATTGTGAATGGACTGTTTAACACCAGGCTGGAGAACTTGAATTAAATGCAATGCTTACTTACCCAGTCCAATAAAATGCAGCATTTAACTGATCGCATGCAATTTATGAGACAATGCGTTGAGCCATTAGCAGAGAGGCCATGAACTGAATTTTGCTTTGACTATAACGTATGTGTTATTTCCAGACTTTTTGACACAAGGCACACAGTGCTGACAGCTTCTTTCTTTTTTGTTCTTCATGCTAGTGCAATGCCACTCAGACTGCTTGACCTGCTCTCGGTCCTTTGACCACTGTGATGTCTGCCGCGATGCAACCAAGTGGCTCCAGAATGGACGCTGTGTGGGGAGCTGTGATTCTGGATTCTATCGGGATGCTGGGGTTTGCTTAGGTATAGCCTATGTTCCGATCTCAGCTGATTGGATTTCCTTCAGGCTGGTGCTTTAGTCCTGGAGGACTGCTTATTCACATTGCCTCCCAGTCATGGACTGTTATTGTATGAAAACCTTCCTCCTTGTTATCTCTTATGGATGTGGAAACACAACACCAAATTGGATATCAGTAAGGTTAGTCTTTCAGTCCTGGATTCAGGAAAGCACCGAAGCATCTCTTTATGTCCTATTGATTTCAGCTGGTCTAAACTAGAGCTCGTTGGAAAATTTGGAGTTTCAAAAAATTCCAGCAAAAAAAGGAACCAGTTTTTTTTCAACCATCTTTAGTCTCAAATGCTTTTCCTGCATAGGGATGCGTCCCTTAATTTAGCCTGCAGACTGACCAGGTACAGATCCGTATCAGTGCACAATGACATGTTAAGGTAACGCCGTCTCTTTTTCCCTTTGTTTTGTGTGGGCAGCCTGCATGGAGATGTGCTCCACCTGCACCAATGGGTTTGAGTGTACCTCATGTCAGGGATCGCTGCTGATGAAGTACGGGCAATGTGTGACATTGTGTGGGGATGGATTCTTCCAGGATCACCTCCACTGTGCAGGTAACTTACAAATAGGGCTGCCTGGTAAAACAGCCACATGTCTAAGCTACAGTGCAGAGTCTGTGTTTAGAGATCCATTGCCAACATGAGGACAAAAGTTTTCAGTGCCGTAACGCCACAAAATAACAGAATCATGTAACGTTAAGATGATGGCAAATGGGAGAAGAATGCACTCTTTAACCATCTGCTTCTGAAATCCCTACTTCTCAACACTGTGATTGAATCAGTCCTATTTCAATTCAGAAGTCTCTCCCAGGGAAATGTTATTGTCTCTTGCTCTTGGGAGGGTGAGAGAACTGCTATATTTTACCATTGACCTAAAATCCATAGCCATTTACTGGAATCTGATTCTTTGGTGTATACTTTGTTTCCAGCACAGGCTAAACTACAGCTAATGAAATCAGCCCTCCCCAGGAGGCTGCAGTGCAGGTGTTAGAGCGAATTAGAGAGCGACATGGGATATGGCAGGTAGCCAGTGTCACACACAAACATCCTTTCCTCTTTGGTGGTATTTTCTTGCTTTTCACACTTCTCCTTCCCAGAACATCTCTTGTGGTAGCTGTTCGCATCAGGAATATTTAGGGAGTCTTACCCTGTTAATCACGAGTTCTACAAAATAGTGGAAAGTGTCTCTAAATGAGTGTATCTCTGCACGTTTCTAAAGGTTGGGATTAGGATAGGGAAGGTGGGGCTTTCTGTCCGATTCCTTTGAAATATTTTTTCTTTGTCCAAACTGTGATTCAGCCTCTTTCATCCTGACAGATATTTAAAGTCAGCACTTCTCCCCTTGTGATATTGGCCTTTTTAGAGGGGCTGTAATTCTTTCTGAGACCAGTTCAGCCAAGCACCTAAACGCATGTGGGCTCTAAGCACCTGCGCAGTCCTAATGACTTCTGTGGAAATACCCAGTTGCTCAAAGTAAAGCACATGCTGAAGTGCCTTTGCTGAATTGAGATCTAAAGCAGGAGTTGGATTCTTGACCACTGCTTTTCTATAACTGTCTGGCCCAAAGGGTTTACGATAGATTTCAGGTTTTGAATGCTCCTGTCTAAGGGTATGTCTTCACTACCTGCCGGATTGGCGGGCAGCGATCGATCCAGCAGGGATCGATTTATCGCTTCTACTCTAGACGCAATAAATCAACCCCCAAGCGCTCTCCCGTCGACTCCAGCGCCATGAGAGGCGCAGCGGAGTCGACAGGGGAGCGGCAGCGTGAAGACACCACGGTAAGTCGATCTAAGTACATCAACTTCAGCTACGTTAGTCATGTAGCTGAAGTTGCATAACTTAGATCGATCCCCCCCAGTGTAGACCAGGGCTGAATGACCTTATCTTTGAGTAATAGAATTGGATCAACCTCTAGATACCCCGATTAAAGATCTGGGCCCCATTGTGCCAGGTGCTGTACACACATATAATGAAAAGGCAGTCCCCAGCCTAAAAGAATTTGCAATCCAAGTTCTCATTAATCTTTTAGTTTGTTTTATTTTACCATTCCCTTTCTGCCTGCTCCTGGTCTTTTAAGTGGCAATGGCCATGCACTGTAAAGGCAGCTGGAAAAGGCTAATGTTTCATTTTATTGCCGGTTTGCAGTGAACTGGCTTTGCATTCCATCCATGTTCGTACCCATGCATGCCTGGAGTAGAAAATTGCTGGGAAATTTGTTCATGTTTCCTCCGGGGAATTAAACCAATTTGCTTTAGTTCTGCCCGGCTGCATTTTCTGCATAAAATAAAACTGGCAGAGAAAGCCTCAAATTTCAGACCCATTCCATAATTCATTTCCATCCAACCTTTCTTTGTATGCTCTTTGTTTTCGTATGCATGCAGTCAGGTTGTCCAAACTGTCCTTCAGCTGTCCAGGAAGCAGCATGTTTTATTAACGTCTGCAGTAAGTTTGTCAATAGAATCATATATAGGATTGATCAGATCCTCAAGTGGTATAAATTGGTGTAGAGGATCTGACCCTAGAAAGGGAAAAGACCTGTGAGAACAGATTACCTAGTCCATCCTTCTGCCTTTGCAGGACTGCTTTCTGCAGTATATGAACAAGCCACAAAGATTCAGTCTTGCTTCATCACTTTAGTTCTTCTTTTTAAAAAAAAAAAAATCTAAAACTAAAAAGAACATTTGACTGAATTGGTTTGATGTGGTGGGTTTCTCCCCCCTCCCCCGCTCTAATAATGGGGTTTGTTTTGCTGTAAAACAGTAAAGCCACGAAGGAAAAAGGGAAATTGAAAAGCAGTGAGGAGGCTTATTCAGAGAACTAACTGCGTGATTAATATTCACGGGATCAGTGAGAGACCGAGGCAGAGCAGAGTGACACATGGAGTCTGCTGTGCTGAGATGAGACAGAAATGAATAAGGAAAAGGCTGAGAGAAGAAAAGTCAAGTGAGTGAAAAAGAAGGACCTCTGCCCTGAAAAGCAAGACAGGTGAAGGACTTGCCGTCTTCAGTGCCCCCATTCTTGCTTTCTCCTGCAACTCACTCACGCACATTTTCAGGATTAATGCTCCCTGCAAAGTCTAGACAGAACTCGGGCGGTGCTGCTTTGTCCTATCCAAATGAGAATATTGAAATATGTAACCTGATTGTAACAGACAAAGCCTACATCATACCAAAGTGCTTGGATTTTTATTAATGACTCCCTAGACTCTTTATTAATGGTTCTTTAGACTATCTTAGTTATAGAAGCTCATCTTTTGAGAACAGAGGTCTCGGTATTGCTAAATAGAATTACTACAGGTAGCTAGCACTACCTTGCAATGAACTGTTCAGTTTATGAGTCATTTAGATATCCAGGGCAGAATTGTCGACAAAAAAAGTCAAAAGTCAGGCAGCTATTTCTCAAATAATTCCATGAGTTCCTTTTACGACGCTGTTAACGTTAATCTCTTGCAGTCACAAAACGGCTTGTGATCGTCACACCTGCAGTGATGCAGATGAGATTTCTGAGAAATCTTTTGAGGAAAGAAACTTTAAATGAATTTTTATTCTGAATTGTGACCAACTGAAAGGGAGTTAAATGGCTGAGTGCAGGAAGCACTATGCTTTAGTCAAACAGCTTTAATGAAACATGTCAGTTATGCCACATTTACTAGTGGTTCTGGGCAGACTCATATTAATCTTAAATGCAGCAGAGCACAGATGCTTTTATAAATGGATGGGTTTCTTTTCCTCAAGGAGGAAGCCAGTGCTTTGCGAGAGTTTTTTTCTCTTGAAAACATTGAGCATGGCTCAGCTCTGTTCTACACCAGTTTTATACTGCTGGAACTCGTAAACCTAGAGTAACAGAGAGGTGGATCAAACCCTTTAACTTGGCAGCATTGGAATGCTCCTAATTTAGCACTGAAGTGAAACCAAAATTTGAAAAAGACTCATCCATCCATGAAGAATTAAGTGAACGGGGGGAAGGGGCCTCCCTTTCCCCACTTGAAATATAAAGAAACAAAACTGAGAGTACTAGACTGTAGGAAGGCTCCTTGAAGCTTACAATATAGTCCTGAAAAATCAATAGGGAGAAGATTTTCACCATCTGTGTTGTCCTCTGTTACCCGAATGAGCTCATTTATATATAATAAGCAAATCACTGAAACCAATAATTGATAAGCCAGTCAGTGATAAGGCTGATGGTGACCTCGTTATGGCTTGCTATGTTGTAGAAGGAAGTTTAGTCTAATGGGAAAAGCAAAGACTTGGAAGTCAGGAGATCTGAGTTCCCCATGATCAGCTCTTGACACAGGTTTGCTGTATGACTGTGAGCGAGTCTCGTGAGCCTAGAGCGGCCGGTGGTTTTGAGTGCCTTGATTTTTGGGTATCAAGCTGAAGATGGCTGAAAGGGGCCTGATTTTCTGAGTGTGGGTGCTTAGCACTTTCTAAAAATCAGGCTCCTTTAAGGTCTCTCCAGTTGGACACCCAAAAATTGAGGTGCTTGTGCTCACTAGGGACTTTGAAAAGTTGGGTCGTCTGCACATCCGTTTCCCCCTCTGTAAAATGGAGAAAACAATATTCACCTGCTGCACCTCACGGTGACGTTGATATCTTTCTGTGATGAGGGTTATGACATCTTGTTGGGTTTGGGGTCTGCAAGTTTGTGCACTTGCCAGTGAGCAGACACAATTCCCTGTACGCTCAGCTTTATGGCCATCACTTGTGCTGATGAAAATAGGTGCGTAGAAGCAGTAAGTACTATCATGGGATGAGGCAAGCACGCCTAAGGTGGTTCAAAAGGGCCTGGCTGTTTTACAGTGATGTTGAAAGTTCATTGGCTCAGTGGGAGCATTTGGGGGAAGACGATGCCTTTGGGAGTCTAGCTGCTGCTGTCCCTCTTTGAGAAGATACAGCATATGGCCTCCTCTGTACACTGCCAGCTCCACTGACTCTGCCCTTCTGGGGAATGGGTCAGCATGGCTGGTGTCCGACTCATGGGGTAGGTCTACACAGCAAGCAACTAGGCACCCGCAGCTGGCCTGTGCCAGCAGACTCGGGCTCAGATTGCGGGGCTGTTTCATCTGGGCTTCGGTTGGAGCCCGGGCTCTGGGACCCTGCCAGCCCAAACCCAGGAATCTACATAGCAATGAAACAACCCCACAGCTCGAGCCCAAGTCAGCAGGTACAGGCCAGCAACAGGGTTTTCTTTGCTGTGTAGCCATACCTATGGAGTCCTTGCACTCTCTCTCTGCAGGGCCAGGCACACTGTGAACCTTCATAACGATACATTTGTGTCACCACTTGTGACGATAAAGGACAAAAAACCAATTCAGGAGGACTACATCCTGACAGCTTGGAGTCACTGAAAATGGCTTTGTTTGCATAATCCCTGCTTTCAAAATCAGCAGTGTCTACAACCTTCCATGTCTCACTCCCAAACAAAATCTTACCCACTCCCCTTCCCCACACCCAGCCCTCTTTCCTCCCATATGTTTTTGGGGGAAGAGGTGAGAGGATGGGTAATATAGCCGCTGGAGGGTGATTTGGTGGGCATTCACAGAGAATCTGTGC